GCGATTTTACCACACTCGCAAAATCGCACACAGCCGACCATACACCCAGTATGATAGCGCAAAATCACGAATCGCGATACCATACTGGGTGTATGGTTGGCTGTGTGCGATTTTGCGAGTGTGGTAAATTCGGGTTACCGTATATTTCTTTACATATGCATTGAAGATTCGCGATTTTGCGCTATCATGGTGCCTGTTAGAATGTTGAAGAGCTCGCACTTGCGCACTAGTGAGGTCCCAGGGAGATGCTGATGCAAGGGTGGACCAGACTGCTATAGTGACAGGTTGCTAGGGACTTGCCCGGCACTTGCTCTCTACCTCTATTTGTTATCTTACTTCTATCATTGACAGTCCCTCTAGGTTGTGGGCTGCTTGCCTGTGTTCCTGAGAAGCATCTACGGTACCAGTCTATAGAGTGTGTTTTCTTTAGTGAATTACCGGTATGTTTACCCGTAATAAACTTGCACTGTTTTATGTATATGTTTGATTACATACAGCCTTGTGACAGTTTTCCTGCATGTCATAAGCATTTGAATATAAATTAAAATGTTAAAATCAAATCTGATATTGTTTTACCTTTTATTTGGTGTGTGGAAGGTGTGCGGAAGAGGGGGTAGTCTTATACGGCGAGTATATAACAAACTCTGTATTTTGAGTGGAAATGTTAGGGGGTCGTCTTATACGCCCAGTCGTCTTATACGCCGGCAAATACGGTATTTTGTCAAGGGCACTGACCTCTTCTCCCTTAGATTATCAATTAAAAAACTGACAACAGCCAACACAAGAGTAGCTGTCCAGTGTGAAACAATCAAAATTATACTTATTTATTTTTTTGTCAGATTGGCCAAAAGTACATTTTTTGGTGTGCCGCAGAATTTTACTAATTCGTTTATGAGTTCCATGAGATGATGTAGGTCATTTAGATCTTAGCCAGATCTTCATCATTATGAAGATGAGAGAACTGAGGACAAGATTAGGGAAGTGCTTGCCCAAAGACATGCTTCTGATAATATTTTGAAAGTGCTTGTGTTATAGGATCAGAATTTTTCTTTTTTTAAAAAATTATATATTTTATTGATTTTTTACAGAGAGGAAGGGAGAGGGGTAGAGAGCTAGAAACATCGATGAGAGAGAAACATCGATCAGCTGCCTCCTGCACAGCTCCCACTGGGGATGTGCCCGCAACCAAGGTACATGCCCTTGACCGGAATTGAACCTGGGACCCTTTAGTCCACAGGCTGACGCTCCATCCACTGAGCCAAACCGGTTAGGGCAGGATCAGAATTTTTCACATTTGATAAAGCTCGGAATGTTGCCCGAAAGATATTAAATTAGCGAAAGAAGAACTAACACATTCAGTCACTTTTTATTTTAGGTGTTTGATGTATAGGCTCTGGGAATCTGGTTTCTGTTTTTAAACTCTGGCATAGGCTCCATGGGTGACATCACACCTTTTACTTGAAATCTGACTGGAGCCAGAGTATGTGGAAAGTACCTTTTCCCTAATATGACCCCTCAACCCCAGAACATTAAAAAAATCAGCCCACACATATCCCATCACCTTTATTTTAGAGAGAAAAAGGGAATGAGAAATGATTATTGTTTATTAATACTTTGCACCAATGGATATAGTATGAGAATTTATTGGAATAGCTAACTTTTTTGAATGCTGAATATTTTACATTGTGTCTTCCCATAACAATCCTTTGAGGTGGTACTCTTACTGTCCTGGTTACATTTAGGTGCTGAGAGGTGTAGTTACTTTAGTTCCACAGTCATACACACGACTGATAAGGGCTGCAGTGAGGACCTTCTAACTCTGGGTTCCCACTCCAGCCATGCCACTCTACAGCAGGGTCCCCACATAGTACATGTCCTGCTGGATAGGCCCAGTCCCCATCAGGCAGAGGGAATGGGCAGAGCCAATCACAGGTGGTGAAAATGCTTGGCTGGGAAACCTTGGACTGGTGTGGGTGTTTGCAGGGAATCACGGAATACTGGCTAGACTGGTAGGTTAGGTCCACATTTTAGACTTTTCTGCTTATTTGGGAGCCATTGAAGAGCTTCAAGTAGGGAGGGAACTAGGGAATTGGAGATGGGAGTATTTAAGTCATTCACTTAATTCCTTACTGTTTATTGACCTAGTAACTCCTCCTTCCTGTGTGCCATTGTGCCTGGAGCCTCCTGTCTTGTGTGAGGATGGGGGTGTGCTGTCATCAGGAAGGAGTATAAGGAATTGAGGGTCTGATCACTCCTTGTGTGAACATCAGCCAGTTTCCTTGTTCTCAGCTCTCGGCATCTCCTGTACCTTCTGAAGTACTTGGCCTTTCTGGGGTTTTGCGGGGTTTACTGGTCTTCTCTTCGGCAGATGCCCTTCCACAGGCAGCGAGGCTCCCTGTCCTTTGTCATGTATTACTCCTTTGTCCACTTTTGGACTTTCACATGTCTTGTGGTTTCAGCAAAGATAGTGTTTCTGTTTTCCATCATTGTCATGTTGTGGTGTAAGTTAAAGGGGAGAGAAGGCATCCTAAAACCAGAAGTCCCGTACTTCATCCTTGTCTAGCACCCTTGTCTCCCTTTCTAGTACTTGGTAGGTTCTTGTTAGTTCAGTAAGTGAGACTCTTTAGGAAGCTATTATATAAGTACCAAGTCAGTAGCAGTGGCAGCATAAGAGTATGTGGGACAGTAGGGGTATGCTCAGCGGAACATGAATATGAGGGTCAGAGAGCAAGGGGAGCCTTGGGAGG